TTCTTTATTTCTTTAAAATCTCCTAGCATCTTTTGTTGAGATTGTCAAGTTTTGGGTCATTTGAGTTTAATTAACAAAGTTTGTTTTAAGTTCTACTCATTTTGTCAGTGTTCTTCTTGTGTGTCTTTTGTGTTCAAGAAATATAGGGTCCCCTATATTCCTTGTCTACATCAAATATGAAAAGTTATTCTTTATGTTAGCTCAAAACAACTTTCAAATAAAAGCAGTAAGCGCCTACCTAAATTCAATCACATGAGCAACTCATAAATAGATCTATAAGTCTCAATCTAAACTAAACCAAATTAAAAATTCATATTTTCCACTTCAGTTTACTTAGGATCCCTGAGAGGAGGCAACCTATAGCTACTAATCAAATTCTTTGGATACTACAATCAATGATTGTTAGTGTTGCTAAATTGTAACACATGGTATACCTGAGATGACGGAACCATATGATCTTGATAGGGTGTACCTTCACCCCCCATAAATTCGAGCCACCTCTTGCACATTTCCACTCTCCTTATACAAAGTAAATATATTTTATCCTTAATCAAGTGTGCTCTTTTAATGCAGTAGGATGGGTAATTAACTATGAGGGCTTGCGCTCATAGGAAGTAGAACCCAGATTTAAATAAACCCTGACACTACTCTCAGGGTAAATCTGATTAAATGTTAAATTTCAATCTACCTCAGGCAAAATAAGGAACTTTTAAGCTTGTGTGAGAGAGATTCGTGCCTATTATTATTTTTCTAGAGCGAACAATGATAAAATAGGAAAGATATCTCTATTGTTTTGAAAGAGTCTTAAGATTAATTTTGTCATAATCTAAGGGTTAGGACGTGCATTGAATGAGTTACAAATTTTCATGAATTTAGGAAATTTTTAGAGAAATGAGTTGTTGTCATTTAATGCCTGAACTTTTGCAAAGTGTCAAATTCTTGCAAAATTAATCAACTATGCCAATTATGGACTTGCAACATAAACCTTTGACGATCAATGGTCTCATAATAATTTGGGGTTTTTTGAATTGACTAAATTCATCTTCAAACAGTAAAAAGAATTCATGAAAATTCTCAAATATCAATGTGTGTAAGCTCCTATACTTGTCGGTTCGTTCTTTTGTCATGGATAGGAAATGCATATACATTTTCATTCAATTTGGGATCGAATGACAACGTCTACCCCTAGGTATGATCATAGGCGACGGTTTGCAATGCGATATGAATGTAAGTTTCATACTTTCATGCATTTGGGGGTTGTTGGACACAAGTCCAATGACCCAACACTCCGTTTCGTCTTCCTCGGGCTCTCAAATGAGAACAACCTATTAGTATCTTTATCTAATAGTGAAAGTGCTGTTTGACAAAGATATTATCATCTTGAAGGTGATTGTAAGTGAAAAGGAGCTGCAAGTGGAGCTTTGTGAAAATAAACTTCAGACTTAGCCGATTGGATGAAGCAGTGTTTGGAAATAATGTTAAAGAGGGTGGGGTGTATTTATCTAACTACCTTTACCTAGAGTGACCTTTACGATATTGTATTCATTTACTTATTATAATTATTGGTCTCTTCTATTGAATAAGACACAGAAATCTCTTTTCCCAAAACATGGTATTAGTGTGGCATAAGTAGCCATGGTTGTCACTTCTCCTACCCGTTCTCCCCCTTCTTAGCTTGCAACCTTCAAAAAACCTCCATCTCAATCAACACATGACTAGCCCATGTTCCAGGGCTTAAATCCATACTCGTGATCCCATGCTTGTGCTTCCTCGCTTATCCTTATCCATGCTTGTCGCAAGCCTGTGCTTGCCTGCTTGTGCGTATGTGCATGCTTGTTCAATCACACATTTGCATCAAAAAATGCATGGTGTTTGCATTCTTGCTATGCTCACCTGCCCATGCAGCTCCAACGCGCTCAAGTTTTTTCCTTGTAAGTATGCTAATTGTTCTTGTTGCATCCCCTTCTTGCCGTAACATCCTTACCTCGCCAAGTTCTCATTCAACAAAGATTTGAGCTACCTCTTTATTATTCTTTAAATCCCCTACCTCAATGGTGTCATGGCATCTCAATCTCTTCTTTATGAACCCAACCCTTCTTTAATTTTAACAATTATTTTCGTGTAGTGGAGGTTCTTTTGCTTCTTTATTGGTTGTCACAACCACCTCATTCACCCTGATGCTCATCCTCTAACACGTGATGATACTGTCAAGTTTTTCAATTGACAATCACGTGACTATGCTATTTGCACTTGAAAGCTCAATAGTCTCAAAAACTTCTATTGTCATAATTATTATGTTTCAAGAAACAAGCAATCAATGTGGGATTTTCGTTGCTCCACTTGCTTCCAAGATAGTAACACCTCCAAGGTAGATACTCCATCTCATTTTTCTCCACAGCATTATCATTTGACCGTCCAAGAATGCTATAGGATTATGTGAGGTAAGTGAGATGAGCTACTTCGTTATAGACTCTTTAGCGCTAATCCAAAAGTTTTGTCAAAATAGAATGAGTTGTTTCTTGTTGCCAGATTTTTTCTTAGGTTCTATTCATCACTTTATCCCTATGCACTAGTCAAAACAATCATTAGAAGTTGCATATAGCAACTATTGAAACACTCCCAATAGAAGAGTAAGAATGTTATGTTTGGTTGTAAAGTGTCAAGTAATATCGCCAAAAAAAATGGTTTAAGAAGTCAAGTCCCATACATGCCTTAAACTTGATTGCAATAGATGACTGAAAGATTATGATTTGAGAATTGCTATAGTTCATAATCACACATCGAAAGTCACAAGTCCCATCAACACGACAAAAGTAGATGAGGACTTGCATGACGTGAACAATAAAAGAATGCTGCAAGTATCTTTGAGGTAAGGAGAAATTGTTGGAGAGGCAGCATAAGAACTTGAAAGGTCGAAGAGGAGATCATGGAAGCTCATAAAAAGATGGGATTTTTATATACATAATACTTAAAACTATGTTATTTACTCATTTAACACCTAAAGTTTTCTATTTACACACATGCCACTTAAAACTATTTCTCATTTCTAAAATACCACTCCGTAATTACTCCGTCCCAATCTCCGTGAAATCCCGCTGGACTGAACTTCGCAAGGCCCTGCACGCCGGAGTTCCGGCGATCGGGCCTCCACCGCCGACGACGGCCTGTCCGAAGCAATTATGCAACGTTACCAACGCTATTCCGGTGGCCGCCGGACACCATTGTCGCAGAACCGGACTGAACTTCTCTCTCTCCATCGCCGCGAGTGCCTCCGTGTCTTTCGCCAACAGACACGATCATGCCCTGTCTCTAACACCTTCGTAAAGGCATTGCGGATGAATTCTTCCAGATTCTTGCTGTCGGCTTGCACCAACAGACCTATTCTTACTTCGTAAGGTGCCCTGTCTCTAACACCTTCGCCGGCGCGACGGAGGTCGTAAAGCATCTTATATTGACCCTCCTCGAATGATCTTGTTGAATTATGCTGTTAAAATTAACGGTGTGCTATTTGTGAATCATATCAGAATAGATAAAGTGAGATTGGACCGGCGCGATGGCATCGCGAAGGTGATCGACACACTAGCCTGCGTCGCCGGCGCCACAGTGATTACATTGTATAAAGGTCCCACCATCTTCTTACCGTCGTCACAGCCGCCGCCGGGACTTTCGGCTGTATCGTCGTCGGCGGTGGCAGAAACTTGGTTAGGAGATGCAAAGGCTGGCAAAAGCTGGACACTTGGGTGCATCTATCTGACGGTTCTTAAGAAATATCCGGCGAGGCTTTTCGTCACTTCGTACACTTGTTTTTTTGGCGTCATCCAGTTTCTGATCATAGCCGCCTTCGTCGAGCGCAAAGCTCAGGCTTGGGCTTTTCACTCCGGGACTGAGGTTTTTACCATTCTTTACGCTGTAAGTTACATCCGGGAGAGAGAAGTTCAGTCCAGCGAGATTTCACGGCGAGAGAGGGACGGAGTGGTTTTTTAGAAATGAGAAATAGTTTTAAGTGGTATGTGTGTAAATAGAAAACTTTAGGTGTTAAATGAGTAAATAACATAGTTTTAAGTGTTATGTATGTAAAAATCCCTAAAAAGATTAGTCATCTTGATTATCCAGCCTAGTTCTTTCTACCAATAATAGTCACATGCTCACTAAAAATGTACTTAAATTGTACTGTCTATTTGACATTTTTTCAAAAATTCCATACATCAATTGTATGACCGTTGACTGTTGATGCTGATGCTGATGCTAGCTTCTTTAATATGGTTAACTTAGCTAAGCGGGCATCTCATTTGTTCATAAGTTTGATCCTCAATAAAAATTCAGCATATCTAATGCTTTGACATTTGCCTCATCCTCATCTTTTTCTGCTTTTTAAATACTTTTAAATTCAACAGAAATCAAACAAAATAGTTATGTCCATGAAGTTACGTCACTTAAATTATAATGGAATAGAGGATGTGATGATCCTGCATTGAACTCATGGGATAATTGATATTTCTTTTTCTGCTGCACACTTCAGTTGTTATCTATCCAAATGTTTTATTCTATATCCTTCTCTTTTATATTTTTCCATACACTAACCTTTGTATCTTGCTTTTGGATATTTTAGATTTTCTTGTCATTTGAATTGTGTATGTATAGATATTATGTGCTCATTTATGCCAAAACAATTTGGCTCACTTATGCCAAAACAATTTGGCCCGTTTTGTCATGCTCAATCTCTTATCCATGCATATGGCTTTCTAGTGACTTCGACAGCTCTCTCCTGTTGGATAATAAATGTTACTGGTGTGGAAACTCTTTCCATCTATTTATTCATTCATTTATATACTATTCTTGACCTTCATCGCAAGGATTGTTGGACATGGACCTCTTTGGTAGATTCATATTGTTTTATTTTTCTTCCTTTTAAGTTCTGTATATATTTTTTTTCCTTGATTGAAACCATGTTTTAAACCTTAAAACTGGTTTCTTATTGCATGCCTTCAATGATTTATCAGGTATTTGAAAGGCAATTGACAAGATGCTCGTTTTTGGCCTCAAGTGGTCTCCATCGTAAGGCATTGTGGAAATTCGAATGCAGTTGTTGGGCTGTGGCAGCCTCCGATAATAATTCAAGGTATCTTCTATCATTTTCTTCTTAACCATGGAAATAGGAAGTTGTGGCTTGTTTTATGCTTTAAAAAACAGTATCCTAACCAGTCTTATCATTTGGAAACGTTGCTTACCAATTTCTCCTTTCCATTTTGGTGTGTTATATTTATGACCACCGAAATAACTTGTAGGGTTTCTGGCCAAAAATTGAATTTTTAAGAATCTGCAATATCAAGCAAAGGCTCTGCCAGCTTTTGTTTTGTGTCTTTATGTTTAATTATCATATTTTCATGTTATGTAAATTTTATTTATTTGGTCGTGTCTGTTTTGGAACTTCTTCAAGTTAGGTGCATATGTATTGATTTTGCATAGTGTTGCATGTGCTTGCTTAAAGAATTTCACGCATCATTCTTGTATTATTACTTTGGTTGGCAGGCTTAATGATGGATGGGACCTTCCAAGTTCTTTATGCCCTTGCAGTGGTAGGATTAATGATCTCTGTATTTATTTGCTGGCCTAGCAATTGAAACTGTGATAGGTTATATCATTATCTGTATCATGTAGAACCAAGAAGCTGTATTTCAACTTGCCTACAAAGTTGGGAGGATTATTACCGGTGGAGAGGCCTGCCATTTAATTCACCAGCCGCTATGTTACTTCACTGGGTATGTCGCATGCTTCTAAGTGTTAATGTTTGTAGCAGATTATCGATTTTTTTTAGTGTCATGCTGAAGCCATATCGTATGTTTGATGTATTGAATTCATGATAATAAAGTCATCTGATTTGCAAAACGTTTACTTGTGATGTTTCTCTAAATTTAGGAAATTCAATATTTATAAAGCTATGCTTTTACTTACCTGCACCCCTGTTATTAGGTTGCGAATGCCCCTGCTTGTTTACCTATGCAAGTTGAAACATTCATTCTAATTCTCCAATCAATTTATTTTCCTTTTTCCATGCTAAAGTTGCATCAGACATGCAGAAATTATATTCGTTTGAAGCATTTATGCTAGAAAGATATTTACATTTGTGTCCTTGGCTTAGTAATCTTTATTTGATCTTTAGCAAGAAGTCTTTCTGGCTATCAATCTTAGCCTGCCCGCTTCTTTATCGAGGTAAAAAAGGAGTCGAGAATATTCCTTGCCATCCTTCCCTGCCTCTACGATAAAAGCAGGTTCAGCATTCAATTCTTCGTGACATTTGACTTCAATGTCAAGTAAAATCACTTGTTTCAAATTTTATCATTCTGAGCTAATCCTGATATTTGAAAATTTCTACATTCGTAAAACTTCTGATTGGTTTAGGTCTGATCTGAGTAGAATACGGCCAGCCTATCTTAATTCCTTTGTAAACCTGATTTAACTTTTTTGGCCACACCATAAACTTTGAACTTTGGTTTAGTGAATCAGAGTTAAAATGTTTTTGATAACCTTGTTATTTCAATGTACAAAATGGGCATTTGGCCGAGTTGAGATTTAGTTAAAATGTTTGATGCCTTCTGTCAGTTTGACCTGGCTGGTCCTCAAACTGTACTTTATACATTACCGTTATCTCTAAGTCTAGCGACAAACATAGGATCTTAATAATTTTTCCTTATACAAAATATACTTTAAATTGATATGCAAGCCTGTTTTAGGATTCCAGTTTTGGGATTAGGATTTAACTGTTTAACATGACTTGAAAGAAGAGAATAAAACTGAAAGTTCTTTTGAAAACCTAAGGTTTTTGTGACTAGTTTTTCTAGAAGGTTAAATTATTGTTTGATTTATTTATCTTTTGAAGCAGAGTGGAAGTGGTGAGTTGTTGGTCTGTAATAATATTTTTTATAACCATAAATGCATGCATTTTGCATGTTTCTATGTTTCTTATTGTATTTTGCCCCATCCTAATTTTGAATTGTTATGAGTTATTTAAATAATCGAAGAAATTCTAGTTTGATTTTTCTTGTTGCTTGATATAATAATTTGACATATCTGTTAGTCAAACGGCTCTTTCTATTTTGAATTGACTTGTTTTGCCTTTATTCAACTAATCGTTTTCTCTAAATGCTTGTGACTGATATGCAGCAATCTGTGAATTTTCAACAAGAATTTTTATAAATGGTGCGTTTAACTTTTTTTTTAAAGGTTTTCTCTGCAATAAATATGAGAAGTTTTTATTAGACCGGTCCAGCCAGTCCACACGGGACCGGCCCAGTGCAACAAGGGCGAAAGATTTTTGCCTCTTTGGTAGTTCGTTCGGACCGCAAGAGCCAACCGAATATTTTAGGAAGGATTTTTGAGGGTTTTGGGAGGGAAATTTGAATATAGGGATTGTTTAGGGATTGATTTGTATGCATTAAATAATTTGTTTTCCTAGGGTTAGGGCATCTTGAATTTAGCTGAAATTTGAGATATCTTAGATTAAGATTTTCCTTTGGGCTCTAGCGGTGTCTAGAGATTTGGGAGAGATCGATCCTCCTCTTGAATAGAGGATCAATTGTATCTTGCTGTTTTTCTTCTTCTACTAGTGAATTTCAACAGTATTCCTTAAGATTTTCCAATAAAATTACCTTGTTTTTCTAGGGTTTGTAGTGGGAGACCTTGTCCTTCTCGAAGTGGACAAATTGTATCTTGTTTCTCTTGGATTTTGAATGCAAAGGTTCTTGTTCTTCCTCTCATCTCTCTTGTGTTGATTTTTTCTTGGATTTGGAGGAGAAATTTCATCTTTGGAAGAGCATTAGGGCAAACCCTAACTTGGGAACCCTAAGGGGTATCAGAGAACTTGGGCAACTCAAAGCAGATTTTGAGGAGAAGATTGCTGATTTTCAAAATCAGATTGCATCCGTCAATGAAAGGATGGAGGAAACGTTTGCCGAGATGGAATACATGTTGAAGAAATTGCTTGAAGCCAAATCCAAACCGGTGACATTGGAAGCAAAGGAAACTACCGGTGGCCCTAGAAGAGATGGGAATCCTAATATGTTTAGGGGAAGGGAAAATCCAGAAGTGGGATCAATGTTTAAAATTGCGTAATCGGGTATAGAGGCGTTTTTTGTTCGTGAGGCGAGGTGTAAGCCTCAAGACATTTTGAGGCGTAAGCCTCACAATCAAAAGATTGTGTAAACATAAAATGATAAATTTTTTATATACTAATGAGTAAAGGGAAAATCCAGAAGTGGAGATCAATGTTCAAAATTGCGTAATCGGGTATTGAGGCGTTTTTCGTTCGTGAGGCGAGGCGTAAGCCTCAAGGCGTTTTGAGGCGTAAGCCTCACAATCAAAAGATTATGTAAACATAAAATGATAAATTTTTTATATACTAATGAGTAAAAAATATAAAACATAAAAAGGCACAAGATATGAAGTGAAATCAAAATATCCCAATAATAAGACAATATGAAATATAGTTCAACTCAAATTCTATCTTTCCCAAATCACAATATTATTTTCATTAACATATAATTCCAAAAATAAACTGCAATGACATATCACATAAGAACTCATAAGTCATAAGCACTGTCATTACTAAGGGGGTCTTCTTTTGAATCATCATTATGATGAACTGCTCTCACCCCTTCCTCCTCTCCTATAAAGTCCAATGTCTCTCACTCAGCTCCTGCTTCACTTATTATATATTAAGAAAACTTACACAAAGCATGCACTCATGAATAAACAGACTAACATTAACAACTATTACTAAAGATGATGAATACATCAATATGCCGAGCAGCCGGGGGTCCAAGGGGGTGCTGCCCCTTGGCGGAGATCGACCTGACCGAGCATGTACCGAGCGGCACTGAACATGTACCGAACGGTATCGAGCATGTACCTAGCTGTACTGAGCATGTATCGAACGGTACCGAGCATGTACCGAACGGTACCGAGCATGTACCGAACGGTACCGAGCATGTACCGAATGGTACCGAGCAGTACCCAGCATGCACCTAGCGATTCCGAGCAATACCTAGGATTTTTTTTTTAATTTTAAGAGACGGACGCCTCTAAAACATGAGGCCAGGTGCTCCTCAGTGAACTTGAGACGTGAGACGTACGCCTCAATGCCAACTCTCATTGCATAGGTTTTGAGGCTTAAAAGTTTTAAATTGTGCCGAGGAGCGCCTCTTATTGCACAATTTTAAACCATGGTTGAGATTATGGAGGGAGAAGGCGGAATGACTCCTCTAGAACTACTTTCTACGGAGGAGATGAGCATTGGCTACGCAAGAAGGGGTGTTGAATTTGTAAGGAGAGGGATTATTTCGATCGCCGGGTGCTGATTTTGAAAGAAGAGGGGATTTTGATGAATGATTTGGGTATGATCGTTGAAGAGAAGATCGTGACAATTGGGGAGCACATCCGCTTCAAGGAATGAGAGGTTATGGAGGATTTAAGGGAAACGGGTGTGACCCGAGAGTAAGGTAACTGAAGATACCAATCTTTAAGGGGGAGGATGCGCATGGGTGGATCTAAACTAGAGAGCTAAATGGTTCAAAGGTTATCAGGTTAAGCTTGAGTTGATCTAGTCCTAATTAGGGTGAAGGTTTACCAAAAAAGTCCTAAGTGGTTCCCTAGGGTCTTGGGACATATGCTTGAGCCCTACAATCCCCATCTTTTATGGCAGATTGATTTTGTCTAGAGTCAACATATTGCTAAGAAGACAGGCTTCATTGACCATTTGGTTGACCAGAGAGTTTTAATTTACCTGATGTGATCCATTGTGTTAGGTATTAAGCCAAACCAAGTTTAAGACCCATGTGGAGTGTCAGGCTAGCCTAGAGGTGGTGGGTTTACCACAGAATGAGTTAGATGATCTATATCTTAGAATGGCTAAAAATCGACCCAAGGTTCCGTTAGAACAACCTAGAACTCACCAGTGTAGATTGGGTTGCCATGCCTTTATGTTGGTCCAAGTATATGTGCCAGAGTCTTAGGAGTAGATTGAACAAAGTACAATTAAGGTGAAAGATATTGAGCTAACCTATTTGATGTATCAATGGATCCCAAGCTATGATGCACAGACACGGACACGGCGACACGGATACGACACGACACGGACACAGGACACGTCAGTTATTGAAAATATAGGACACGGACACGGGTTGGACACGTTATTATAGTTTTTATATTTAAAAAATAGTGTATAAAAATTAAATAATATAATTTTAAAAATAACAAGTCATTTAACTAGAATTTGTGCTTAAAATGATTAGTATTTGGATGTCGAGAGTAAGGCATTGATGCCGTTTATTAGTCACCGAGAGAGGAGATGAAAATACCTTCACTGCCAAAAAGAAATGAAAATGAGAATATTCGATGATTTGGTATTAAGTGCGGATGTTGATTTGGTGTTGTAAATAGGAAATAAGAAATTTATTTTAAATCCTGCCAAATAAAAGAAATTATATGTAAAAAAATGCATAAAATATTTAAGATACGCGTGTCGGACACGCGTGTCCAATTTGTATTTAATATTTATTAATCGGACACGTTTTCGGTGTGTCCGACACGTGTCGGAGTAGTGTCGGGCGAGTGTCGTGTCGGATACGGTGTCGGACACTGCACGCCTCTTTGAGGAGAAGTGTCGGTGCATCATAGATCCCAAGTTCCCAACTTGACTAAGTAGAGAGTATGTGTATTGATCAGGTTAGTGATTTGGTTTGAGATGGGCTTTATCATTGACAGATCAGGATGACTCTAGAAAATAGGTCTAATATATGTAGAGTGGTCTAGCTAAATCAGTCAATAGGAGAATGCCCCAAAGCTCAAGGCATACTAAATCAGATTAGGCCGATAAACATCCTTAATGTATGTGCTAGATACTGAGTGAACAAAGATACTTGTGAATAATCTAGGTAAATAGGGTTGAGTCAATGCTAGACCCCCAGTGTAGTGATCACAAATCCTGAGAGGTATCTATTGTGTGATTACATGATATTATGTCAGGCGTATGAGTGTGAAAGATATCTACTAGACAGACTTAGTGAACAGGCTGGATTTAGATGACCTGAATGTGTCAGAAGTACCCCCAAGAATTGTGCTGACAACTAGATTTAATTTCTTACATATTTAATTATTTGGTTGTTCTTGAATGTTATATGTTATGAAGGTGATAATTGTTCGTGTTCTAGAATGTCTAGTAAAACTCATTTACTTATGCTTTATTTGTTATTGTTTTCTCCTTTTCTGGCATACGCCCTTTAGATTATTATAACTTGTGTTACTTTTCTTACGTTGGTGTTTTTTGATTAATTCATATATTTGTGAAGTAGAGTTAATCCTTTATATTTTGCATAACTCACTTGCTTTATTACATAATCATACACCATAGTTAACTTGTGTGGTGTTTGTACATTGCAGTTTTTGTCAAATTTATTGCTTATGCTTTAATTTTAATTGTTAAGATTTGATTTGTTGGATTTCTGAAGAAGTTCGAAGTGCCTAGTTGCACATGCAATTCATCTCTCTATTGTTGCGATCTTATTTCAGAATTTGTATCAGAGCCTGACATTCATATATGAGTTGATGCGAATTCCGCATTTTACAATAGTTGTGTTTAGGCATCCAAATATTGACTTCCTAATTCGTACGTCTTTGCTAATGAAAGATTTCAATGAAGTTTGGCATGTTATGTATCTTTGGGAGACAAGATTTGCAATTGGGATGTGTGACTGTTTTTTTTCTATTGATTTGAAGAATTTAAATTAAATTAAATGAATAATCAGCTATTTTGAGAATTAATTTAACTTTCAATTGAAACTAATAATGTGCTAATCCCTGCTGTTGGCCTATGTTATGAAGAGTCTTTAATAGTGGTCTGAGCTTTTAGATTGAATAAAAAATTCTCTTACTATTTTTAATGAGGGATTGGAATTTGTGATTTCTTCTAGAGTTGTACTAGTGCAACTATTTAATACCGGTAGAAGTTATCTTCTTGTACTGGCATGAGGCTTTATTTCCATTTGGTAATTTTATTCCTTGTTTATTTTTGCATAATTTGTTATTGACTAGTTTAATGCACTTGTTTTTTTTTTGCCAAAAATTGATTCATTAGAAATTTTATTTTGAGCAAAATAGTTATTTTTGCTTGATGATTTTATTTCTTGATGATTTTATTTCCATCTAAATTCTTGATAAATTTTCAGATTTGGACAATTATTTTATTTTCAATTGGTCTTGAAGACCTTTATTGCTTGTTTGCGTTTAAAGAAATTGAGTAGTTGGCTTGATTGATAATATTAATCTAAACCTTCAATTTTTTTTTTGCATGAAATACATTACACATCATATTAGTTGCGTTATGAAGCACTAATCTTGTGTTATCTTGCATAAAATTCTCCTTTTTATTGACATGAGGCATGATTTCTTGTTTACTTAAATAATTTAATTTCTTGCTTATTTGTTATGTATAATTTGTTATTGGTTAATTCAACGGTATAAATTTTGGTTTAAAATTGATATGTTAGAAGTATGATCTAGTGAAAAATAAATATTTTGCATGATAATTTAATTTGTTTTTAAGTTCTTGCTGGAATTTTCAAATTGTGATGATCATTCCATTTCCAATAACAAATTTCGTTTGTTTGATTTTATTCCCATCTAAATTCTTTTTAATTTCTCAGATTTGGACAATTATTTCTTTTTCATTTGAGCTTGAAGTCTTATATTGCTTGTTTGCATTTAAAGAAATTGGGTTGTTGGCTTGATTGATAATATTAATCTGCAAACCTTTAATTTTTCTTTGTATGAAAACATATTACACATCATATTAATTGCATTAGGAAGTGCTAATCTTGAATTGTCTTTCATCAAATTCTCCTTTGAATTGGCATGAGGCATGATTTTTGTATGCTTTAATAATTTTATTTATTGCTTATTTCTTGCATGTTTCTTTGGCATAATTCGTTATACGTTAATTTAGCACTATTAATTTTGGTTAAAAATTGATGTATTAGAAATTTGATGTAGTGAAAAATATATATATTTTTCTCGCTAATTTAATTTGTTTCTAAATTATTGCTGCAATTTTCTAATTCTGATGATCATTTCATATCAATTGAGCTTAAAGATAATTATTGCTTGTTTGCATGTAAAGAAAGTGAGTTATCGGCTTGATTATTTCTAGTAATATTTGAATCGTCAAATTTTTTTAGCATGAAGGTATGTTTTTATGTCATATTTGTTGTATTAGGAAGCTTAATCATCTGAGTCGCGTTGCATCAAATATTCTTACCCCCAAATATTTTGGTTTGTTTTTAGAAATCTTCATTATTTATTCATTTCCTTTGAGTTCTACTGGAAGTATTAAAAGTATTTGCATAAATCTTTTTTAAATCAATTTAAAAGTTTTTATTTGTTAAACAAAACTTTGAACTCTTGACAGTTTTCGCATATGCCTAAATACAGCCACTTACAATCTTTCACTGCTTTCAACTTTGTGCTTCCCAAAGCTTGATTTCAGCGACTTTGGACAAGCTGTACATACATTATTTAGGTAATGCTAATCTATACTCGAGCATTATTTTGTACTCAAATTTATTTTTCCTTTAGTTTTATTCATTGTGATTTTTTATTTAGTTTGCAGACTACTATGAACTGTGTAGGCCATCCGAAACTCTATTTTTATGCTTGCCAGTGATAAGTTCATTGCTCTAGGAAATTACAACAGCTTGTGTTTATAGTAAGGTGTTGTTGTTTTTATAGAATAGTTAACTATTAAATTGATTTGTCAATAAGTTAGTTAATCAGCTAACTTTGATGTATAAATAATTAATTTTGTAAATTGTGGCTTTTTTAATTTGCTACTAGAAGAAAAAAGCAATTTAACTAATATGAGAAATCTATTATTTTAAATTAAGAGAGAGAGAGAGAGAGAGAGAGAGAGAGAGAGAGAGAGAGAGAGAGAAAGCTAATAAAAAATCATCATACTTATTATTATTTATATTCTTATATTTCCTTCCATCAATATTTTCCCTGACATCATATCATGTAATTTCCTCTCTTTTTTTTCTTATTATCTAATATCTTTTTCACCCATCACATCATATTTCCTTCTCCAACCAGCATGATTTCTATGCCTTAGGCATTCCCATTCTCCAAAGTTTCAAGTAAATTTTCTCTTTTCAAACAAATGCAACCAACTCCAAATGTTGAGAGATAGCTTTTGGATTTCATGTTGGAAAAATAAAATATACTATGAGACAGGCTTTTCCGACTATCAACATTAACATTGAACCTTTATCCCACAATGTGGGGTCGGCTACATGAATCATTTTTCTCTATTGTTCTATTAAGAGTGAAATTCTCATTTAAATCTAATAGAAAAAGATCATTTCTAATACTTTTTAACCAAGTCTTTTTAGGTCTATTTCTTCCTTTTTTAACATATGCCAAATCTAATACATCTGCTCTCCTAATTGGGTCATTAGAAGGCTAACATTTTGTAAAACCCAAATTTGAGCAGGTTTGTGCCATAATTGGATCAATTTAAAATACCCTGAAATTTCAACTTTCACGAAATTCCACAAATTTAATGTCATCGTATTCTACTCATCGAATAGAACAATTCGACATATAGAACTTAGGTCAAGTTGCAAAGAATTGGAAGTTAGGGATCCATTTGAGTTTTTTCCTAACTTGACAAAAAAAAAA